CAAGACTGCTATCCCTTGACGTCTTCTGGGCCATCATCGTGCCAATGCGACACCTGGCTCAAAAGTCAGCCCTGGCTATCCCATGTTCAAGGTCATGTGGCAGCAGGATTAGATGAGTTCTGGTTTCCTGGTACGCCCCATCACGTTCACTACACCTCAGCGCTGGCGTCGTATTCTGTGGACTTCGCGGTCTACGAAGTGCAAGTTCACGAACGCCTACGGAAATGGTGCTTGCATCACGGACTCCCGCTGGACCAGTTCCACGCCCCTCTCATCATGGAGCACCTTTGCAGCCAATTCCAGCAACATCGGAAACATGCATGCGCTCACCAGCTCCTTACCAAGCATCAGCTCAACATCCTTCATCGACACCTTGGTCAAGACTTTGTATGCCACAACGAGGATCATGACAACCACCACCTCATGTTCTTCTGTCCTCAACTCTACTTCAAGGGCCTCCACAATACCTGGCTTCAGTCCAGCACCTGCAGCCCGATCAAGCAGCGGCCATTATTCTTGAGGCAATTCCGAAGCACCTGCGGCAGAGGTACAAATGGGCATACCGGAAGAAGACCACCTCCATCCCGGTTGGAAAAGTCTTTCTCAAACGGAAAAAGCAGTGGAAGTCGGGTCGCACCATTATAGCATACCACGAGGTGGTGCACCGGCTACTTTTCAAGCAGTCGCCATCCTTCTCGGCGAGATTGCCGCAGACATATGGAAACGCTCATGGGGTATACACCCCACACCACGCATATGGCAGAACATCAAGCAATACTTTGACAACACAGACGACACAGTCACCCTTGCCTTCCACAATGACGACTTAGTCGGCTTCTTCAACAGTGTTCCTCAGGACCAGGTGTGTGCAGCGGTTGCGCAACTACTCGCCGAGCACCAACGAGACCGGCCCAGTTCCGTGTACTCAGTGGAAACACAGGCAACTGCCCACCACAATCGGGTGTTTGCGGGCAAGCAATCCTACGGACGCACACCGACCACGCGCATCATCCACATGGAGGACATCATGACCATCGCCAAGTCCAGCTTCCAAGGCATGTATGTTCAAGTGGGGACCCTCATCATGCGCCAAGTCCATGGTACAGCAATTGGCTCCCAGCTCAGCCCGGTACTTAGCCACATATGCGTAGCAAGGCACGAAGTCATCTGGCAGCGTATCTATGGACAATGGTACACCAGTCACAACGTCTTCTTGGAGAGATATGTGGACAACCGGTTTGTCATCTTCCCTTCTCCATCCTCAGGTCACCCCGCGCCCCACTGGAGGCACTGCTCCAGGCTGACTTCTACGGTGCCCCCATCGTGCTGGAACAAGTGGGGTCTTCAGAGTTGCTCGGCTTCGTCATCGAGTCGGCGACCGGTCTATTTACTACAAAACCCCTACAAAAATCTGGCAGATAAGAGGACCACGCACTGCTGGAAGCCTCTCCATCCTTTTTTCAGGAGCTAGGTCACGGTCAGCCCTTGCCACCAAGTACGCGCATCCGGCCAGGCAGGGCAGTACAGATGGCACTGGATCAGCTTCGCAGCATCTATTTGTCCGCAGGCTACAAGTCAGCTGACCTGCAACACCTGTTTCACCTACCGGCGACTCCAACACGAAAGAATCCTCAAGCGCCTGCCTTCCGTGTTGACCCTGGTGCTCATACACTGGTTCAAACAGTGCTGCACGTCCTGCGGACCTCCGCGAGCTGTCGCCATGCTCGGCCGCATGATAGCGCTTCATCACCGCACGACTCAGAACGCTGGTGACACGATGCAGCTCATTCAGGAGACCTTGAACCAAGCTGACGAGGCACGCAGTCGCCGGCACCATGACGGGCAAGGTCGCTGGCAACAACAACATGTCCACGGCCGGTCGCTGGCCGAGCCATCACGGCTACACGCACCTGCTCCTATTGGAGCCGATGAGGCAAACCCACCTGGCCCGCCGATGTCGACGCCAGTCAACCCAGCATCTCCGACCGACCCTCCACCACATGTCGGATTCCAATCAATTTAGTCACACGCAGACCACAGGCGGAATGTCCTATTGCATCATCGCGGCGGACACCAACGACCCTACAGATCTGCGTTCGAAGAGCCCCATGGTGCACGATTACGTTGGTCAGCCGGGCTTCAAGAAGGCCAATGTTCCTCGCTCTATAATGGACAAGGGTGAGGCCGATCGACGCAGGACCAAGCGAAAGCGATGCCGCGCTACATCCTCCGGGAAGACGGACTCGCCGGAACCTCCAGCACGTCCAGCACCTCGTACTCCAGCTCCAGCTCCGGTCTCTCCCTGCGCTGGCCTGGTATCCTCTCCTGAATCCCTTCCTCAACCTCCGGCTCATGCTCATTCCGATGCCGGCAACCCTGGAACTCCCCCGGAAGCACCTCGTGCCTGGACAGAGGAAGATGACCAGCAGCTTTGCAGCCTGAAAGCGGACAACCGGTCTTTGTACTCGTACAAATCGCTGGCCAAAGCTCAACAGGTCCATCGCGGATGTCACGCAGCGCTGGAAGAGCCTGGAACGCCTCAGGAAAGCTTGGGAACAGCATCAGAACACTACCTGAACGTGTCCAACACAGCCTGTCCAGTCGTCTCCGGTGATACATGTGCAGCTCTACCACGGATTTGGGGCATCGACTTTTTGAACTCCAGATGGGAGCAATGCGTCCCTTCGGCCACAATCAAAACGTCCGCAAACAGTCGCCGCCGGTGTATGTCTTGTCATGGTTTTGGTTTTCTGTTTTGTTTCTGTCTCTGGGGGCCCCTGCTGTCTGGGTTCCTGGTTGGCCCTTGTTTTAGAAACTCGGCTTGTTGATAACTGTGCGTCCCTGTCTTCCAGACGCACAGGCAGGAATTACAAAAGTGACCAAATCTCCCATCGAGCATCGTGATGGAGGCGGCCTTTCGGGTTTCTGTGGTTTCCCCCTGCGGGGTGTGTGTGCGGCCCCCCTGTTCCTAAGGGGTTTCCGCTGTTCTTTTGTGCTTGGAGTCTGCCCATGCCAGCAAACCGACCCCCTTTCTTAGTACCTCGTCGCGGTAGTCATGGGCACTGACGAGTAGCCGCGGTGAGCGAACAGATCGGGAAGGTAAGCTGACGAAACTCCACTTCTCACCTTCCAGTTGCTCGGGGGTGCACCATGGCAGTTTCGCCGTCTCATATCAAGTAAGTGTGTGTGTGTGTGTGTGTGTGTGTGTGTGTGTGTGTGTGTGTGTGTGTGTGTGTGTGTGTGTGTGTGTGTGTGTGTGTGTGTGTGTGTGTGTGTGTGTGTGTGTGTGTGTGTGTGTGTGTGTGTGTGTGTGTGTGTGTGTGTGTGTGTGTGTGTGTGTGTGTGTGTGTGTGTGTGTGTGTGTGTGTGTGTGTGTGTGTGTGTGTGTGTGTGTGTGTGTGTGTGTGTGTGTGTGTGTGTGTGTGTGTGTGTGTGTGTGTGTGTGTGTGTGTGTGTGTGTGTGTGTGTGTGTGTGTGTGTGTGTGTGTGTGTGTGTGTGTGTGTGTGTGTGTGTGTGTGTGTGTGTGTGTGTGTGTGTGTGTGTGTGTGTGTGTGTGTGTGTGTGTGTGTGTGTGTGTGTGTGTGTGTGTGTGTGTGTGTGTGTGTGTGTTGTGTGTGTGTGTGTGTGTGTGTGTGTGTGTGTGTGTGTGTGTGTGTGTGTGTGTGTGTGTGTGTGTGTGTGTGTGTGTGTGTGTGTGTGTGTGTGTGTGTGTGTGTGTGTGTGTGTGTGTGTGTGTGTGTGTGTGTGTGTGTGTGTGTGTGTGTGTGTGTGTGTGTGTGTGTGTGTGTGTGTGTGTGTGTGTGTGTGTGTGTGTGTGTGTGTGTGTGTGTGTGTGTGTGTGTGTGTGTGTGTGTGTGTGTGTGTGTGTGTGTGTGTGTGTGTGTGTGTGTGTGTGTGTGTGTGTGTGTGTGTGTGTGTGTGTGTGTGTGTGTGTGTGTGTGTGCGGCTGTGTGTGTGTGTGTGTGTGTGTGTGCGGCTGTGTGTCTGTGTGGCTGTGTGTCTGTGCGGCTGTGTGTCTGTGTATGTGTATGTGCATGTGTGTGTGTATGTGTGTATGTGTGTGTGTGTGTATGTGTGTGTGGTGTGTGTGTGTGTGTTTGTTGGTTGGTTGGTTGGTTGGTTGGTTGGTTTGTTTGTTTGTTTGGTTGCTGTCCAGCATGTTGCGTTCGATGTTGAATGTACACAGTGCGTGATTCATCAAGGCCTCAAGGCCAAGGCTCGCCTGGGGGCTGCGCCCCTGCGATTTCCTGCCCCGCGTTCCTCCCTTCGGGGTAGAGAAATCATCTGTCGGCGTGCACGGTCACCAGCCCTCCGGAGAATTTGACGTTATGACTCCGAGACAAAGCCACATGACAAGACCATCGCAAGGGGGGCCCCGCAAGGTTGACGTAGGCGACTTGGTACATTGCTGCACACGGATAAGTGGATGAGCCTGCTTAGGCTTCAGAACTTCAGTACTCTTGGGGGCAGCATAAAATGATTGATTTCTTTTTGGTTTCCCTTTTAACACTAAATGGGGTCCACCATTTGGAGAAACCCCCATATGCTTTTCACATACAAGCTGGAACTCATGTGTTTACAGAGGATATTGTTCAACCCGCGTTGACAGTCGCAGGTTCAAAAGGACGCTCAGCCCAGCTGGCCCCCAGAACCACGCCTGCGTTTCTTGGATGTTTGGCATAGGTAGCTGTGGGTAAGTGGTGCCGTTTGTTCAATGCATGTTTGGCCCGGAATTGGGGCATCCTCTTCTTTCTGTTCCAGGTGCCTTGGATGTTTCACTTGCCACGCTCGGCGGATCCGACCTGCGAGGAATCCATTCCTGTTGCCGCGACGGGGAGAGGGCGTGAGAAGGGACTCCAAGAGAAGGCGAAAAGGAATTCCAAGAACATGAACCGCAAGAAGGCCTCCCCCAAAAAAGAAATCACCCACATCCCCACTCCCCCCCTCAACAAACTTAAACGTAACCTCTGGGCCACCGGGGGCCTGGAACATGTCGCAGGTGTTTGGTCGCGAGTTCAGTTTCGGCGCGGGTCGCAGCAGCGGGGTCTACTCCTGCGCTCCAAAAGGTCACACGGGGCACCCGCGCTTCGGTGACAGGGGGGGGAGGGGGAATCCTGAGATCTCAGGTCCAATGTTTCGTTTTTTCCCGCTGGCTTCCTGTTGCTTTTGAAGGAGGGTCAACTTAAGATGGGTGTGCCCGTTTTTTTGGGGACTGCCACAAACATGGCTTCGGTTTTCTTTTTAGTTTCCCTTAAAGCTACAAACATGGGGTAGCCCCAAGACACGACACCCCCAAATCAAGAACCGCAAGTGCCCGTTTTGCCGTGGCCCCTGCAGGTCTAGGGAGGAGGGTTTTATCTTCGGTGTGCAGTGGTCAAAAGATCCATTTCTTGCGGCTGGTAGAGATGGCCCTGGACCTCTTGGGGAAGTTGGACAAGCGTGACAAGGGTTCCTTTCCAGAGAATTCCTCTTCAGCGAACTACGACCATGACCCACAGAAGAACAGTCAACACTTTGGTATGTGACGTTGGGGGTCAGTCCCAACCATAGACCCTTGCGGCTAGCCACCCTTTTGATTGTGCACATTGGTTTGGGTAGACCCCTTGAGTACCAAGTCTTGATTGCGCTTTCGTTTGTGTCCTTTTGTGGAGAACATGCATGGTGACGGTGGATGACTAGAACTAGAATGAAGTCAGCGGAATTCATGGTTGCTTCCGGGTGAGCAAAGTCATTCGGCCAGGACAAGACAAGTCAGGGAGATCGTCAGGCACAGAATCCCACTTTTCGACCTTTGTCCGGTGTCCATGTTCAGTCAGTCAGTGGGTGTCGTTTCCAATGAGCGCCAGGAGACTTTGACAAGACCCAAAAGCATGGAGCTCCAAGAACCCATCACACTTTTAGTGCCTAACCCGGTGAAAGCAATTCTTGTCTGAGTCCTCATGGGAGTGTTGGATGATCGAAAGGTACAGAGGTTTCTGGGAGATGTCTTAAAGATGGGGAATCCAGGCGTTCCTTCAAAACCTGAAAGGGTAATCCCCACCAGTACGATTCATGGGGCCAGTTTGCAGACAAGCGCGTGTTTCAACATGCCGCCTTTGTTTTTCACCCCCTTCCCTTTTTGGGGGCCAGGGTTTGGCTCACAAGGATTGGACAAACAACGGGGTGCGCGCCAAAGGTGAGCTTCCTGCAGGTACAGGGAGTCCCTGCTTTTGGGCTTCACCACCATGTCCAAGCAGGAGGTGAAGCAGCTGCTGCGAGAAATGAAGCAGGAGCGGCAAGCAAACGACTGTGTGTTGGTATATACAGGGGAACCATCATTCCCGGGTTTATTAGGTGGTGAGGTGGTGCAGGATTTCGTCCATCCACAGTATGTCCATATGGTTTGTGTTTTGTTCTTTCTGTTTTTTGTTTTGATTTTTGTTTTTGTTTTTTTTTTTTTGGGGGGGGGGGTGGCCTTCCTAAACGGTTGGCGGTAATCCACCTACGTCCATCAAAAGGGCCCTGCATTGAAATCAGTTCGTATGGATGCTCTGTTCCTCGCTGATTTTAAGCAGCTCTTGGGCCGTGATACAAGTCGCTTGAGCAGCGTGGTCATGCTGAAGTGGAACGATTCCCTCCCTCTTGGGGTGAACATTGAACATCAAAGCCGTTTTCTACACCAGAGCGACCCCTTGTTCCAACCCAAAGGTTTCTGGGACCTCTTGAATGACGTCAATTAAAACGGTTTTTCGGTGGTGGCTACATATGGAGAATGTAAACATGTCACGGGCACAAAGTGTGCGACCCGTACCCGATTTGACCTCCAACAAAATTCCTCTACGCAAGGCCCCCCTACCACCTCCCCCCCCTTTAATGAGTCACGGTCAATATATGCGTAGATCACTTTAGTAAAGCGGGGTTTGCAGCATACATTTGCAGAAAGCCTCGCACAGCGATAGGACCCCCACCAAGACGATAAGATGCGCAGAGCGCTGCAAAACGATACATAAAAACCTCCTTGACGAAGACAAGTTTGTTTTGAAGGTAGCTCGTGTATCCAAACCAAACAGGGGTCAACCGCAAACCTGCACACGGAGTCACCAGGGATTACGAACAACTAGATGGGATACCAAGCACGTAGCTCACTTTCAGACCACAGTGGAGGTACGGGTAGCATGTTGACAAGTGTGGAACCAGGACCCTGTGAATTTCTATGCGTTGTGGTTTGACTCCATTCAGTGGGTGTGGTAGGCTATTTGCTAGGTGCCTTCAAGCTCGGGGATGTAGCTGATGAAAGCCTTCGGATCCCTTTACAACCGCCAGGCTCTGATACCTGAAAGGCCGCATTGAATTGAACCCACAAAAGCTGGAATGTGTCAAAGGGAAAAGCCCGTTTGAGGGATATAGGGAACCCTCTTGGATGGTTTTGGACAAAAGGAGGCTCCTTCTCATAGAAATCACAATGGTTTGGTATTTCAACACCTTCTAAAGTCTTCCAACATGACAGGTGTGACACCAGAAACTCACCTTGACTGAGGGAGGGAGGCACTGCAGACTATGATGCTCTTCCAACTTGGAAGGGAGGGGTAGGTACATTTCCAAAGTTGGGGGTCTCCGTAAAATGTACCAGGTGTCTCCTTATCGTTGTCCGCTTCAGACCTCAGATTTCTCGAGGAAGCGCCGAGTGAGCCCCAAGATTCCCCCTACCTGTTACCTCTACTTCCCCAAACGGTTTTGAGTATGGGCTGCTTTAACTGAGTCTCCTTTGAGGTTCGGGGAATGTTGTCGGAACCCCGGTCCCTCGCTGAGATGCATTAGCGATTTTCGGCTATACCGTAGGAGTGGCGCGGGAGCAGCTATCGCCTTCTGAGCCGCAATTGCGTCCACTTCTGCTCCGCTCTTGGGTTGACTCTCGGCCCAAGAGAACCAATGATCAACGGGCCGGGGATTTTTGCGAGCTCACCCAAAGTTTGCGATTCTTTGCTCAAAGAGTCAGGTTTGTGTCTGTTTGTCCAGACCACCCGCTTTTCTGTTTGTTTGTGGTTGCCAAGTTTCCATTTGATACTTCAGATACTGCCAGCGAGGCGCCTGGGCGTGGTGGAAGTGCCCAGCTGGGTCTTTGGCATGGCCGACCGCGCGCAGCAGCTGGTGTCTCGATGCGAGGGGTCTCATCCTCCCACCTGGCTCGATTTGTCCATCTAGAGTATATATATATATATCTATATAGTAATTTGTTGTTAACGCTCCGCGTTGCCCGCCTCGGCCAGTCCGCTTTTGGCGGGCTTTGTTTATTGGAAAATGCGTGAGCTGGTTTCCAAGGTAGAGGGTGGGTGCATGTCCGCACGTTTCCACGTGGCTTCAAGGGCCAGCAGAGAGCTTGGGCCAAGCGAAGGCGCAAGTGTCTAGGGAAGTTGACTCATGATTTTTGCCGGTTTTTGGTGGGATCTGACCGGAGCTGGACCGGTTTTTGTGATTTGACAGGTTTCAGAGGGGAGTTTGACCGGGTTATGCGGTTTTTCGATTAGTGGAGGAATGTCCGGAATTGGATCAGCTTTGAGAGGGGAGCATTTTGCCGGTTTCTAGCGGGACTTGACGGGTGATTTGATCTTTAGAGATGTGACCGGTTTTGCATTTTTGGAGGAAATTGATCTGACCGCTTCGCGCCCAACCGCTTCCTGGCTTGCCTCAGGCGGACTGGAGGCAGCTGGAGCAGGGATTATTTTGGCCGCGCAACATTTGGTCGGGGGGGTCGGACGGACAAGGGGGGAATGGGGTTTGGAAGATCCTGAAGAGGTTCTCAAGGGGTCTGACCGCTTCCCGGCCCTGGGGGCCGAGGCGAATTTACGGTGTGGGTGCGTGTGGGGTTACTCGTCATGTTTGATGGTCATTTAAAGGGTGGGGTGTGAGATGCGGTTGGTGTCCATTTGGTTTCCCCGTTTCAAACAAAACCAAGTAATTTGGAGGAGTTTCTTGGTGGCTGATGCTTGAATATCGTGAGCCTTTTCTTCTCTTTGCAAAACAGTCCTTGGACAGTGGCCAGGCAGCTCGGCGGAGGAGGATAAGTATTGCATTTTGGCTGACAGTCGGCAAACAGAAACATGGCTTTGAAAGAAACACAAGCCTCTGTCAGTCATCGAGTGTTGCGCACAGCAGCCGCACAACTCAAGTCAAGGTCTGTCGTGCAGCCTAGTGGGGTGATAAGTAGGTGGGAAGAGCTCCCTGTGCAGGACTGTGTTTTTTGGGTGAGGAAACGGGGGCACGACCTCACCGGGGCAAAGTGATGAACTTGCCAAATCTCTTTGAAGTCAAGCATGGTGACTCTTTGTTGGTCACAACACATAAGGGCCCCCTAAAAGGGGCCCCTATGTTTGTGACACACCTGCTTTGTGGTTGGACAGATGCAGGTCAAGGCCTTGAATGGGATGTGAAACTTTGGGTGCCTTTTCTCATCTCGGAACCCAACCTCCTGTTGGCCTTTGCAACCAAAAGGTTGCTTTATTTTGCCAATGTCTCCAACTCAAATAAAGGGTTGGCTTTACTTTGCCAATGTCTCCAACTCAAATAACATCAGGAGGAGGCACTTTCTTCCTTGCTCGCAATATTTGTTGAATCCCCCATGGCTCCCTTGCCCCTGGGTTGACGACATTGGGTGAATTCGAAGTATGTGGTTGCTCTCAAAGAGAGGTAATCCTGCAAATGGCCGGTTTCCCTGCGGTTCAACACGAAACAAAGCCCGGGCCGAGCAACATCAGACTTTGCAAACCAGATGGGGTGCTCCAAGCCGTGTTCAGCAGGGTTCCCACATCTGGATTTCAACAGAAACCTATAGAAGCTTGCCATGAGACTTTTTCGCAGCTTCCTTCAAACGAAGGGGGCAAACGGCAAGGCAATCCATGCCCCAGGTTGGGTGTCACGAGGCGACAAACAAGCTTGCGGGCATTGGATGATACTATGCATGGACGCTTTGCACCAGTTGGATTTCGGTGGTTTACCCTGGTATCTATATGGTGTCATCCATGCCAACTGGTGCGAAGTGGATTCCGTCCACAGTATATAGGACTCAGTGTCAACTGCTGGATGATTTCTCTCCTGGAATTGTGGGAAGTATCTTCTGTTTCAGCAAGGCAGTCGTTGAACCCTTGTTTTCAAGTGGTGTTCATGCAACGAATTGGACTTCTACATTTGGACATTTGGGGAGTTGTTTCGGGTGCTGGAAATTTAACCATTCTTGGTCCCCGCTCTTGGCGAGGCCCGAGGGGGTTGCTGAAACTTATGGGAGTTTCCCGCCATCCGATCTCACGAGGTGAGCGACATTGCCGCCAGCGCTGCGGCGGTGGGCCGCAGCTTGGCCCAGAGTTCGCTTTGAGTCGCCGGCCAAAGGCGATCTCTGCTGGTGCGATAGGCAGGGATTGAGAAATGGAATCAACCCAGGGGTCCCTTAAAGGAAACCACCAAGGGATGGTTTACAAGGATCATTCCATTTCTCATTCCCTGCCTATCGCCCCTGCAAGTTATTGGAAGGGATCAAGGTTCGTTGACCAGCAGACATACCCCACTCTCTTAGACCTGCACCAGATGTGGACCATCAAATGGAAGGGTGGGTTTTTTGTTGTGCAAGTGTTCTTCTGTAAGTTCTCTTGCGCCAGTTCTCTCGTGTACTGCTTGACCCTCAAAAATAGTGGCCCTCACTGCCCCCTCATTCTTGTTTGTTCTCTGGCTAGGTCCAAAGATGAACTGCTATTGGGCTGGATCTTCAGACTTTCACTTTCTGGAAATCAAGGGGGTTTCTGTTAAACCCACAAAAAGTTAAACTTTGGCAGAGGGGTCAACAGCAACCAAGAAAGGACATGTGTTCCGTGCCATCAAACGACCCTGTTCTTAGGGATTGACATGGTCACCAACCCCTGGGGATATTCGCAATGGTAATGTCGAGAAGTATGGCCATGACCCGCTTGGCATGTGGAGGCCTGGCCACTTTCGACTGCTGCCAGCTGTTGGATGAGCCCGGGATGCAGGCAGACTGCCTTTTCGCCGGATCAACCAGATGTATTAGAATAATATGAACAAGTATAAGCACACACATACTATTAGTCAGACAGCAAACGCTTAGACGCATCAATCACTTGACACACATGTATCAAAAATGGGAAATAGTTTGACGAGAAAGAAAGACGATGCATGTAGAAAGAAAGGATTCAATTATAAACATAAAGTACCGTGAAGTTCAATGGTACATAAGACCAGCTATTGTGTTTGTTCCATCTGGACGACTCAAGGACAGATATCCATTCTCTCAATCTCTTCCCACTTGATTATATATCTACTTCTATTTCCTAGTTGAGTTTATCAGAAATCATTGTTGAGGTGAAGTAAATTTACCAGTGGTGTGACTTACCTGTTGATTCATTGTCTTTACTGGACTTACCTTTTCATTCTCTTTACTTCAGATCAATATCTTGGAGTTCATTGGAGGTGTCGTCCCCGAAAAAGACAAGCCCCGAAGTAAGGCGCACACTTCCACACGCGACACGAAGCAGTTTGCAACCAAGGGGCTCCACGAAATGTCCTTTCTCGGTCCAACCAGCAGGCCCAAACACGAACCATACAGTTCACAACCTGGGCGTGTGGCTGGCCAGCAGCATTTTTTCCGGCACTTTTGATGGATCTTTTTGAACGTCTTCCTTCCTTATTTATTTTTCAGAACTGCACTCTTTAGCATGTTCCGTTCGCGCGGGTTCCAGGTCTCTCAGGAGCAGCCACGAACCGAGCCGATCGCGCCCCGCGCCGCTTTACCGGCCACGGCCCGCTTTGAGCAAACGGACTGTCACTTGCGCGAGGCCCCTAGAAAACTGCCGATCTCAAATTGCGCCATGGCGCCGAATGTACAGCTGGAATTCGCTCGCATGTTCCGGCGCCTGTAGGAGTGTACAGTGTGGTCTTCTTTGGTCCAGGGGCGTTTGGAACCGGGTTGTGGGAAGTGTTCAATTCTGTGAGACCGCTGTTAGGAGGGGGAGCTTCCCTAGTATCATAGGAGTGGCAGCGACCCCCCCCCCCCCCGCGTTGTTCCCACAACCCTGCAATGGCGAGTTTGGTAGGCGGGCGCACAATGCATCGTGCTAGAAATTGCAGAGAGGGCACACGTCCTCCTGCCTAGAGTTTTGGCAGCTCCGGGTGACCTAGGAGGATGTCTGGTTAGCAGGCAATTCGGTGTACCTCTTGATTTTGATCCGAAGTCATGGCAACCTCACAAGAGAGCCCAAGTCGCTTGAACAGCCACTTCGGTCTTGCTGGACGTCCAGACGGCAAACACAAGTAGCAGAGAGTGCCATGTCACCCAGGCAATCAGCAGCGAAGGGTAGGCAAAAGAAACACGCAAGTCCAAATTGGGTATGAGTTTGAATAGGGAACCCACTCAAAAGTGGTTGGTGGACAAGTCTCCACAAAATGATGTCGAATGGGTCTCCAATTAAAACTTAGACCCGTATTTCCGAAAAAAGAGTTGCCTTCAGAAACTGCCATCACTGCAAGCTCCGGTCACCTGAAGTTTCAGTGGCACAGAGCCTCGCTGCCGTAGACAAAAGGATTGGGGCAAGCGACCGGCTGATTCCGGCAGCGATGGGATGTGACATGTACGGTCACAAGGGCGCTTGAGATTGAAGATGGGCATTAACCTCTGAATAGAACAGTGGGAACAGAATTGCAAAGACGGATTCATGGCCATCACAGGCAGAAGGGGCTCGATTTTGTTTTTGCTAGGTTTGGCGAGCCGGGTCTTGGGCAGGGTCCCCTGTTATCAGTTGGTTGGTCGATCGGTACCCCCCTACCCCACCACCCCCGGCCCCCGCTTGTTTATAGGGCTGTTGTTAGCTTTGTCGTGACCTTGAAAATCAAATCCACCGAACCCTGCACACACACACACACACACACACAGACACACCCGGCGAAATCCAAGCCCACCCTCAACACACCTTTCGGCGGCTTGTGGTTTTTGTGGCTTTTGGTGGCTTTTCGACCCTATGCCAAACCTAGAAAATCAAATCTTGCCGAGCCTAGGACAGAAATCCCTTCGCCCCAGCAAAAGTAGTTTTGACTGCCAGTGAAACGAGTACCAAGTACGAAATTCCATCTAATCCAAGGAAACCAAGTGGTCCGTGACTCCTTTTGGAACCACAATTCTGTTCATTAATCCTTTTGTTCGGCCAGTCATCACAACTGCCAGGTTCTTTGGTGCAGGAGATTCTGCTGATTGCTCGGCGTGTTTTTGGTAGCAGCTACGCCTACAAAAGGCTATCTTATATAGGGGTTGTAGAGTGTGGAGCCATTCGATGCATGACGACATCGGCCCTTTGCCAACCTCTTGTAGCGGGTTGCTGTCGAACTTCTGGTAGATATTCCTGCATTCGCTCTGCGCAAACCAGCTCACCCTGCAAGCTCAGAAAGAAGCATTGCCCTAGTCCTAAGTTCAACAGGTGGGTGATTTCTAGTACCCTCTTGTCCATCAGCATGGAACACGAGGGTCCCTTCTAGAGCACACTGGTCTTCCAGGTTCTCACAGATGCTACATTCGTGGGAGGAGGGGTAAGTGGTGAGAGAACATCCGTCCTTGACGTTTTCCCTTTGCCGCTTAAGGCTTCTCTCGGATTCTCTTTCGAGTGCCAGGTCATGGTTCAGGGCGCCGTCAAGGCTGCGCAGGACCTGCGCCTCTTTTTTTTTTTGCCCTGGAAAGGGGGAGGAGATTTGGAGAGCCAGGAAACCCAAGGGGGGGTCCGTGTTTGGAAAGACATATGGGTGTGGCTCAAAATTAGACAGCAGGGGTTACGCAGGTGTTGGTCCATGTTTCCACTTACCAGGGTTCCATTTTGGTACGTTTTTTTTGAGCCACAACCATATGTGATGTGCTCGAAACACTGTGGTTCCTAAGGGAACCATGCGTTGCAAGCTGGCCTATACATTACAGGAGAGGGATCCTGGAGTGACACTCCTGAACTTTCCGCTTGTGACAGCTGGTATCCGTTATTTGTTTCATGTGGGAATTAATGTCAACTTCAATTGACCAGCATGTAGCTATAAGCTCACTTGCCATGCGTCTTGTAGAATCGATGAGTTTCACTGATTTTAGTTTGAGTTCTGTGGATTTTGTTATCGGCCATCTTCTGCACGCTGAGCTAAACTCAAGTTAACTATTGGTCTGCATCATTGCAGCTCCGCGAGCTGCAAGCCTGCAGCTGAGAATCGCGTATATCCTTCTTGCTGATCGCATGGGCAACGCCCATCACAACTACGGGGTGGCTAAGCATCACATTGGCCCGTGCTTGAACTTCCCCGAGGGTCACATAGCAGCTCGATGCTAGGAGCGGGCGCGTCAGGCGGCCAAAGTGGAAAGTTCTGCCCTTGGCATTTGTGGGAAGGGGCCGGAAGCGGAAGGAGTCGCGAGTAATACAAAGGGCTAATACAGGGCTATGAGTTTTAATGGGGAACCCATTCAAATGGGTTTGCTGGACATAATTCCCCACCTACATGATGTCCACAAAAGGGTCCCTACTCTCTTTTTTTTACCCAAATAGTTTACTCCCAGAAGTATGACTAAACTTGTCAACCCTCCCCGATGAAGCAACATGAAGGACACCCTATGGTCTCTTGGGGTTGGGCCTGCGCTCCCTGGGAACCGCTTCTCGGTTCAGATTCAGCCCAAGAGCCCAAGAAACACCAACACATGTTTGTCATGGTGACACAAGTCAGCTACCCTCGGGATCCCTCGGGGGCGGGCACCACAAGGCTGGAAGTCTGTTCTTCACCGGGTGTGGATTTTGAGCCTGAGGGAAGAGGTCAACCCAACTCGTTTGCGCAGTTTTGGTACAGCAAGATTTGAGGCCCGGAGGAACGAGCAGAGCGCGAGAAGAAGGAGAAGGCCCGAGCTTGATTCGTCGGATGAGCGTGCTCTGAGAGTTGAAAGTTGATGCAGCTTTTCTTTGATGTGGGTATGGGCCAAAATTATATAAACCACCACGGGAACGCAGACTTTAGTCCTTGTTTCCATTTGCCAGGGTCCCATTTTGGGTCCATGTTTTTGACACACAGCCGTACTTATATATTGGGAAAGTCCTCGTTGGATTGAAAAGAGCAAGCCGGGGCTTCCGCTTGGTTGCCTCTTGCACCCAACCGCTTCCCAGCATGAGGATATTGTGTGCGCTGGCCCTGCTAGGTTTGAGATGGCCATTTTGACTTGGGCATGGGGTGATTGTTTGCTAAGAGCTTAACCATTCGCGTTGGATATGCATTCTTTGGACTGGCTTTGCCAAGGGGCGTTGGGGGTGTCGTCTTTTGGTCACGTCCTAGCCAGTCGGGAGGCCGAATTTGGGGCTCGATTTTTTTCAAAATAGAGGCAAGCAAGTATTAGTTCAACCATGTTGCTGAGTTGTTCCGACTATGGCTAGTGCCCAATATTGGACTTGCTCCAATTTTCAGGTACCACTTCCCACTTGGCCCCTGAGCTTGTCGCATAGCAACCACTGAAAGCTGGCCGAGGCTTTTGATAGGACATGTATTTTTTTTCAAGGTACCCGCCGTGGGTTTGATTCAAAGCGGCTTCGAATCCCAGACAATCCGCGTGGGTAATGGTCCACATGTACCCTCAAACTGGGTCCAATGTTTAAAAAACAAAAAAACAACTAGATGGATTGTCTGGGAGAGTGGGAAAGAGCACCTCCTTTCTCCAGCCCAGCCGCCAGCCGGGCTCCGCGCGATCTCCGGCTCCGGCTCGCATCGAGCTTCCGGCAGGCCTTGGCGTGGCTGTTGGAGTACCAGCAGAAACAGGCGGAGGACCCCAGGGACCACCGGGACCTGTTTCCCGGGTCAAAGCGAAGATCTCACCCTGTTTCCAACAATGGCTGGAAGACAGTCCTCTTGAAACCGCCTGACTTCTGAATTCCATCAGGTATATATTCGACTCTTGGCGCGGCCACCACGGCAGCCAGTCCCGATGCGTGGGTGTCGCAGCGTGAAATTGTTTGACACGATAAGATGGTTCCGATTCTCCCAAACCACTTTGCGACGCTTTTTTTCAGGGGGAACCGGGGTATACAACCCCAATTTTACGATGCTTAGAGAGGGCCGTCAAAGAACAATTTGGGGGAAGCTGAATCTGAAGCGTTGAACCCCTTTCTTTTGTGGGGTTATATGACAGCTGGCTGGTTACATATTGTGTCGTGGGTTTGGGTTTGGAGTCGGCATGGGAGCCCCCGGTCCAACTCTGAATGAAGATCAACTTTTGGGCAAATGCATCGGGTTGCAGAAATCCATGGATCGACCTCGCATGACCTCGCAAAGGGCAAGTCGAGATTCAGCATACGCTCTCTTGGGGTCCATTTGTCTGATAGCCCGTTGCATTATAGATCTGGTCAATCCGAATCCTGGGTTCTCCGTGCGTCTGTTTTCGAGACAACCCCTTTTTTTGTGGGGTGGTTTTGTCGAGAAGCCAGAGAAAAAGCCAGAGAAAAAGCCACCATTCTAGGGGTACCACTATATTAAGACAGCCATTTGTCGAGTTATCTGCCATTTCAGGACAAGGCCGAGGCGGAGCGGCCGATGCCTTAGGCAATTCAAAAAAAGCTCCTTCCAGTGGGCCCAGTATTCCGACTGCCGGTTTCTGAAGTCAGAAACTGGAGAGTTGTTATGCTCAATTGGGCCAGCGTCTAGTTTGGATGCAGCAAGTGCCCCGCCAATTCGTGCATTGCGCTTGTGCTTGGAATCGGCCTTCCACGCACACTGAACTTTAGCACTCTTGTGACACTCTTTTAGCACTTGGCTGACAAGGCAACCCATGATAATTGTAGTGGATGCCAGATTCTGACAGCCCTCCAAGAACCGGAGATTGGCAGGGAATTTCATGGTTGCTTCCTTTTTTTGGGGAAGCGAAAGGACATCTTTGCCTCTTGCTTCAAACGGCAACAGGCCTGGTGTTGCATCATATTATGGACACCCCCCACCCAGTAA